TCTCTCTCTCTCTCTCTCTCTCGAAAGAGCAATGCGATGCCTGGAATCTGGATTGGAATGTGTGAGATCGCTGCGTGCTACCGGAGGTTTCGAGGGAGAAAATGCGTTGAACCGGAATCTAAGTGGCAAAGCTCCGGCCGCTGCCTCTCCTTCCTTTTCTCCTTCCTTTTTGGGGGCGAAGGGCCAAACGTCGAAAATCGAAAATCGGAAATCGAAATACGAAAGTGGCCTGAGCTCAGCGCTGCATGCGTTGCGTTGCGTTGGGTTGGATTGCCTGTGCTTCCCGTGCGCGGATGGGCGCGACTAATTGGCCGCCGCCGCCCGCTCTATCTAAGCAGTTGCTCAGCAGCGCCGGCCAAGATGGAGCCGCCTCTTCCCGTTGCATTCGCACATTCGCACATTCGCACAGTCGGGCCCGAACTTCCGCTTCCTCAACCCCCACACACTTCCCCACCGCGACCACGGCTTCTTTCATCAACACCACCCCTCGAGGCACCAAGCGTCGTCAACGTCGTCGTCGTCGTGCATACAGTGGTCTATATACCCACCATCATCACCCCCTCCCCCCCTCCGGTCCACTTTGGTACTCCGCAGCCATGGCCTCGCCCAAGTCGGTCGATCGCGTCTGGGCGCTGCACGACTTTGAGGCCGAGAACCCAGACGAGGTGTCGTTCAAGGCGGGCGAGTGCATCCTCGTCGTCGAAAAGGACGACGAGTACGGCGACGGATGGTGGCAAGGCACCAACGAGCACGGCCACACCGGCCTCTTTCCTTTCACCTACACCACCCTCGATCGCACGCTCGCTCTCACCGCAACAAAGTCCGGCAACGCAACCCCGGATGCGCTCGGCACTCCGCACGGCGCCATCGCCTCGACGCAGCCCGGCGTCATGCACTCCACCATGGCCGACATCGACAATGCCCTCACAGAACTCCAGGGCGACCGCAAGCCCGCCAGCATAAACCACGCCGCTTCTTCCACCGCCACCGCCAACAACCCCGCCGCCGATTCGTCGCGCGCCTCCTTCACCAGCGAGCGCACCGACGCAGAGTCCGACAACCTCGCCGAGGAGTCCGACGACTTTGCCAGCCGTTCCGTCGCTGCACGTGCCGCGCTCGCCGCCAACGCACAGAAGAACCTCGCCAACAACGCACATCGCGAAAAGCAGGAGGAGCAGCGCATGCGTGCGCAGGCGCAGCGCCAGTTCGAAGAGGAGGAGGCGCGTCAGCGCGAGCTTCTGCTCGAAAAGGAAAAGGAGCGCCAGGCCAAGCTCGCAGCCGGCCACATCGACCCCGCCGACGAAAAGTCCAAGGCCGCCCCCATCGCAGGCGTCGACATGAGCGACGAGAGCGACAGCGAGGGCTCCGTAGGCCCGCTCGACGACTTTCAGGACAAGACCCACAGCCCGCTCTTTGGCAACCTCGCTGCCACCCCCACCGAAGGCGTCGCCGCGCGCGAGATCCAGCCCCCCACCTCTAGCCTTCAGGGCATTGTGGAGGACGACGCCAAGATCCAGCCTGCCTCTCAGCCAATCGCTCCCATCCAAGCCGCGACAGCATCCACCACGATTAGTACTACAGACACGCCCGCAGCACCCGCTCCGCTCACTTCGGACGACTTTACCTCGGCCGTGACTCCGGACGCTCCCACCACCGCTGACACGGCCGACGAGCCAGCTTCCTCCCACATCCCCGCCATCGCCGCCGGAACTGGTGCGATCGCTGTCGGTGGCGCAGCCGCCGCGTTGGCTGCCGAAGCTGCGCCACCTGCTGCTGACGACTCGACGCGCTCCGTCGCAGGAGACAGCACGCGCACCGGCACCGAGGCCGGCACGGGCGCCACGGGCACCGCCACCGCCGCCACCTCGGTCGCAGCCACGCCCAACGACGACGCCATCCCCGCAGCGCCGACTGCCAAGCCTCCCGCTGCGGCCTCGGCCAGCCTCACGGGCGATCCGACCGAGTGGGGCGTCGACCAGGTGGTCGAGTGGGCACGCTCCAAGGGCTGGGACGAGGCGGCGGTGGTGAGCAAGTTGCGCAACCACGAGATCTCGGGCGACGTGCTGCTCGAGATGGACATCAACATCCTCAAGGAGATCGACATTGTGGCGTTTGGCAAGCGCTTCCAGGTGGCCAATGGCATCAAGGAGCTGCGTGCCCAGGTGCCTGGGGCCGTCACGACGCCAGGCGCCTCGCAGCCTGCGCACGACGGTCTGGGTAGTCCGGCGATCATCGCTCCCGCGGCGGCTGGTAGTGCGTCGGGTACGCCGTCGTACTCGCCGTACAATGCCGGCTCGCACAGCGGCAGCAATGCCGACGGACGCAGCCTGAGCGCACGCATGGCCGAGACGAGCCTCGACCAGAGCTACGGCCCCGGCTCGAGCCGGCCGGGCAGCTATGGGGGCGAGCGCGACTCGTTTGGGCCCGCGCAGGCGGCCTACGGGGGCGCGGCGGGCGTGGCGGCGTGGCAGGCGCAGCAGGCGGGACAGGGCCATGCCGCGCGTGTGCCGAGCGGCGACGTACCGCTCTCGCCCACCGCCGCATCGCAATTCGGCGTGAGCTCGAGGTATGCGCCATCGAGCGGCACGTACGACGACAAGCTCGGTGCGCTGCCGTCGTCGCCGCGCAAGCGCGAGTCGACGGGCTCGGCGGGTGCGTCCGAGAAGAACAACCGCTCGAGCTTCTTTGGGCTCGGCCAGAGGAATCGCAAGCCGCCACCGGCGGGTGTGGCCGGAACCTCCGGTGCACCCGCATCCAACGCCGGCGACGATGAGCGCAGCAACAAGGGCACACTATCGCGTCTGGGCTTTGCGCGCAGCTCGAGGAACATCAGCTCGCAGTCGTCGCAGTCCAACTTCAAGGACCAGATCTCGCTGCCCACTTCGAGTCCGCACTTTGATGCCAATGGCGACACGGTGCGTCGACAGCGACAGTCTACGGGTAGCGGTACCGTTCTTGCCTCGCCTGCGACGAACGGTGAGATGGGGATGGGCATGTCGCCATCGGCACGACCGACTTCAATTGGCTCGGCGGGTGCAGAAGCGCCTTCTGCTGCCGCTGCGACGTCGGCTGGAGTAGGGAATGTTGCAGCAAGTGGGCCTGTGATGTCGCGCATTCAGCCGGTGGATTTGGAGGGGTGGATCAAGAAGAAGGGCGAGCGCTACAACACATGGAAGCCCCGCTACCTTGCACTCAAGGGCCCCGATCTGGTGATTCTTCGCGATCCGCGCGCCGAGAAGATCAAGGGCTACGTGAATATGAAGGGCTACAAGGTGATTGCGGACGAAAACACCAATCCGGGCAAGTACGGATTCAAGATTTTGCACGAGACCGAAAAGCCGCACTACTTTTCGTCCGAGGATCCCATCCTGGTGCGCGAGTGGATGAAGGCGCTCATGAAGTCGACCATCGGTAGGGACCATTCGTTCCCGGTTATTTCGAGCTACAACAACGCCACGATTAGCTTGAAGGAGGCTCAGAGGATGAATCCACCCCCGAGACCGCCCAGTCCAACGAGTAGGGCTAGGACACAGAGGGCAAAGGCTAGACCCAACCCCGAACAGCTCACTGCCAGGGATGCGGCGATTTTGATGAACCTCACCTCCGGTCAACCCACCAAGCCCGATGATCTGTAACTGCATCCCCCAGCCTCTGTTGTTTCTTAATGATCATTGAATGTTTTGCAACGACGAGCATCTAGTTGCGTGGGTGTGTTTAGAGGTCGGCGAAGAAGGTCTCTTTTGCAGGTGGGGATGGCTTGTCATCGTCATGGTCATCGTCATCGTCGTCGTCGTTGTCGTTTTGCTCGTCCGATTCGTGGGTGGATGGTTCGACTGGGACATCTGCATCGTCTTCTGCGTCATCGTCATGGTCATCTTCCGAGTCACTCGGCAAGTCGGTGATGCCCAAGGGCGCATCTTGGTCGCCATCTTCATCGAGCAGCGGAGTGAGATCGGTGAGCTTGACTGCATTCGAGTGACCGATACTGGCCAGTGTATTTCCCTTGCGCTTCATCCTCTCCACCGGCAGTCCATCGTGACTCGCAATAACGCCGAGTAGCTTGGATGGCAAAATCTGGACGACACGCACAAGGCCATCGGAGCTTCCCGTGAGCACTGTCTCGTCGTCGAGCGTCACGAGTGTATCCACCGAAGCCGGATGGCCGGGTACGCGGTCTACGTGATCGAGCAGTCCGTGTGCGGGCGACCACAGCGAGAGAATGCCGAGTTGGGTGCCTACGACGAGCTTCTGACTGCGTCGAATCGGGGTGATGGAGAGCAGCTCGTCTTCCTGGTCTTCGCTCTGCTCAAAGCTCGTCGGTCCACTCGAACGTAGGTCGATCGAGGAGAGCGAGCCGTCGCCCGAGGTGACGATGAGTCGCGAACGCGATTCCGCCTCCACCTCACTGCCCGACTCCGAGTCCGAGTCCGAGTTGGGGTGGAGAGATCGTTCGAGCGCAGCTTGGCGTGCGCGCTTGCGCTGCTTCTTGAGCTGGCTCTTGCTCTTCTTGGCTTCAGCTGCCGTCCTGGGTTTCGGGACGGGCAAGTCGGGCAGGTAGACGAGATCCGTGATCCAGTCAAAGTGATGATCCCACGATCGAACCGGTTTCGCACCCGCACCACCCGGTTTACGCGGATCCCAGAGTCGAACCACACCATCGTCGTCGCCCGTAACCACCATGGTCTCGTCGATAGGCAGCACCCGACTCGGCGCCGCATCGTGCGCATCCTGCCAGCTCTGCACCACTTTCCCAGTCTCCGTATCCGTGGCGTACAACCCCTTGTCTTTGGAGACGCTGTAGATGCTCGCACCGTCCGTGGCGAATGCCAACCCGCGGCACGACTTTTTCGACGGTCGTGACACCCATACTTTGCGATACAGCTTGCGCGACGCTTTGACATCACCATCCTCCGTGGCAGAGCGTGCCTTTTTCGAAGGTGGCGATGCAGGCGTGCGCGACGAAGACGGCTCCGCCACGTACGGCGAGAAGTCGACCAGCTGGATCTTGCCCGAGATGAGGCCGACGGCGAGCAGGTTGGTTTCGTCGTCGGGATGGAAGCTCAGATCGAGCGCATCGCTGCTGAGTGGAATGTCCATGTCGGTATCCTTTGAGTCTTGGCTGCGGCGTCGAGCAGCTGTGAGCAAGGTGAGCCACGGATGGAGGCGAGAGTGGTCGTGAGCAACGTCGGTGCAGAGGGGACGAGGACAGGGTCCATCCGTCTTTGCTTTTCCCTTTGGCTTTGGGTCCAAATTTGGCGGAGCGAATGCAGAAAACTCCAGCTGAAAAAGTCACGGAAAATCAGGAAAAAAGGCAGGCTCAAAAAATCCCGACGCACGGACGTGCAAAAAATCATGGATTGTTCGATCAGAGAAAGTCACAACGATGGCGAAAATCGGTCGGCTCCGATCAGATCACGTGTGCGCCTGGGGCGGCAGTGGTGGAATCGCGGCATGGCAGCCTTTCTCGCCATCATCTCGGTATCCTCTCCACACCATCGCCGCTGCGCTTTCACCCTCGACCAACACCGAGCACGGCACAGCACCTCTCTCTCTCTCTCTCTCTCTCACACACACACAGCAGACACATCACTGCATTCATACGCCAACATGCCTGTTCCCTTCGAGGCTGTCCTTCACATGGGTTCGTTGCGCCAATCCTTGCTCGCATTCTCCTGACGTTGAGCGCACTTGCTGACTCTTGCTTTCCCCTTCGCTTGCTGAATGTGCGCAGGCATGGTGGTCGTCATGTTCGGCGTCGCCGGTACCGGATACAACGTCGTTCGTCGACTGGCCGAAGATGGCAAGGTAAGCTCCTCCCTTCCTGACGCGAGCGTGACGGGGATAAGGCTGACGTTGGGTTTTGCGTGGACAGCCGATTCGACACTCGCTCGACGACTGGGAGCGCATGATGATGAAGCGCGACGAACGTCTCACCGGAAGCTTGAGAGGCCAAACTGTAAGTTTTCGAGCACAAGCATTCTCCAAGAGCCAAGGGTTCCTGACGACTTCTCTTGCACTGTGAATGACAGACCAACCCGATAGCGCCAAAAGAGTTTGCGACCAATTCCGCATGGGCCACCGAAAAGCTCTCCTAGACGTCGCCACCAACCACGCACACATCCCGTGCAGCTCTACACACACTGCAATCGCATCCCGTTCCCGATAACACACCCGGTCAAAAAGCATGAGGAGGTTTCAAATTGAAAGTCGAGGGGAGAGATGGAGGGGGCTACTTCCATACCTCGACGCGGCGTCGAAGTGTCTCGCGCACGTTGATCTTGTCGGCGTCGATGGCGAGTGTCTGCATGAGCGCTGAATACTCGTCTGTGGCGTGCTCCTTGTCCGAGTCGAAAGCGATCTGGACTGCCTTTGCTAGCGTCACATCCCCGGCGTCGGGCTGTTGGCTTTGACCCTGCTCGGTGCTCGGCAGCAGGGTGAGGAGTGTTGCGGTATCGATGGCAGGCTTCCAAGCCGCGCGAGGTTTCCTACCAAACCGACTGCCTGCATTGCTAGCGGCGAGTTCGTCAACGACGCCAAGCCAGCCGCGCTCGAGGTCGCGCCGGAAGCGCATGCCACCGGCATAGTTGAAGCGTTTCGATCCACCCGCCATCACAACGCGCTCCACCAACGCCGTCGCCAGCGACGCCGCGATGTGCCGGTAGATGGGCAGCATGGATTCGCGCTCCAGCACACCGCACAGATGTCCGAGGTGCGACGAAAAAATCGCCAGAGCAGCTACAAGCGCCGGCGTCGGATACGCCTCGAGCTCGTCTTGGTCCTCGCCAGCAAGCAGCGATTCCTGATCCCAACGTCGCACGATGTACGGTCGCAGCTGCTCGAGCGTCTCGCTCACCACCAATCGCTCAATCGCCGAGGTCGCCCGCTGTGCAATGTCGCCAAATTTGCGACGCGGCTCCTCCCATACGCCAAAGCTGCCGAACTCGTTGAGCACCTGCTTCTGTCCGACGTCGGTGATCTTGGGTGTGCCCACGCCTGCGTCGGCACTGGGCGCGTTCGATCCGGCGGTGAGCGGTCGTGCGACCGCCGCACCGCGCTTGAGACCGCGTCGGAGGAGCATGCCGAGACTAGCTGCATCGAGCTCTCGGTTTTCCTCGTCGCCCTCGTCCTTGCGCATGCCGAGCGCAAGTGCCCTGCCTTCGTCGGTCGAACCCAGGCTCGCGGCCATCTCGACAAACGCGGCGGATTCGGACCAGCGCTCGATCTCGCTGCACACGTACTGCGCCGACAGCAGCGCCTTGACGAGCCGACCGAGTCCACGCAGGCCCTTGACCATGTCCGAATCGGACGCGCCCGACACAAGCGCCGCCGGACCGGTGCTGGCGACGATCTCGCCAGGCATGGCGCGTGCAAAGGCGGACGAGAGCGACTCGAACGCATCGAGACTGCGCGTGAGGCGCTGCGCATACGACCGCAGGATGGGCAGCTGCACGATCGCCACAAACGCCAGCCGCTGCGACAGCGACGGCAGCGGACGGTACCGCTCCGACACCGACTCGAGCACCTCCATGGTGGATCGTGCCGACTTGGTGGTGCGGCTCGATTCTTGCGTCGAGGTCGAGTTGCCATCGAGCGTGGAATGAAAGATCTGCTCATCGTCGTCTGCAAGGCTGTCGGAGCTACCGATGGCCCAAGCATCAGGTGCATCCATGATCTCCTCGAACCGCTGCAGAGCAAAGTGCTTTTCGCCGTCCAGCCAGCGCTGGAACCACTCGGGATTGCCAAGGATGTCGTCCGAGATCTTGCGCACGCCTGCGCCGGAGAGCACGCTGAGCGCGGGCGGAAACTGCGTCTCGAGGTCGGCATCGAACGTGAGCGCCTGGAACACGGTATGCGCCAGCAGGCTCGGGTGGTCGAGCAGCGCCGGCATGGTCGAGGCGAGCTTGCGGCGCAGCGGCGTGAGCAGCGCATGGAGCAGCTCCGCGTACGTGTCGACGTGTCGATAGGCGCGATGCGACACGGCCGTGTTGGCGTAGTGACGGTTGAGACGCGCGACGGGACCGCCTGAGCCTGGCACGCCGTGTGCGGCGGGGAGGAAGAGCGGTGCGTGCGAGCGGATGAGCGCGGCGATGTGCGAGAGGTACCACTCGGGCTTGTCGAGACGGTTGGTGGAGCGGTCGCCGTCAAAGTGGTAGCGAAAGCGGAGCAGCATGGGTTCGACCAGGCACTGGGTGGTGAGCAGCGGCTGGTAGGCATCGCTGGCTGCGGCATCGGGTTTGGAGGTGGTGGGCTGCGACTTGGACGGCGGCTTGGCGGTAGCTCGTTTGAGCAGGCCGAGATGTTCTGCGGCGTCTTGGAGGGCACATACGTCGTCCCAGGCCTGTCGCACAGCCTCACTGTCGATGAGCTTCGCGCCGGCTGAGGTTGATGCATCCACGATGGCAGAGTCGGCGTTGGACTGCTCTGTCGCCGAAGTGTCCGCCCAGCCGGACTGAGCGATGGCGTCGGAGAGGCGCGAGCATCTCGCCTTTCTTAGCGCCTTGAACGCAGCCGATCGCTGGGCTCGGAGGAATGCGACGAGTTTGGGCTGATTTCGACCAGCGTTGTGCGCGTCTACCCCGGCGGTCGAGAGCTTGTCGACCCTGCGCACGAGAGCGTCGAGCTCGGCGAGATGCTCCAGAGCGCGTGAGGAGCGGGGCTGGTCTTTCTCGCTGCTGATCACCGCCAGACGCAGGTCTTCGGCCTGAGCGAGGATTGTAAAGTAGTCTTTGGCCTTTCGAAGCTGGTCGATGGCGGCGTGAAGCTGCTCGAGGCGTGCCATGAGGGTGAGGGCGCCTTGCCTGCTGGACTGGGGTGCGGAAGCAGCTGCACCCTGGATGACGAGGTCCTGGCAGAGATCGAGGAGCTTGTCCTCTGTGGATGCAATGTCATCGGGAAGCGAAGAGAGCGTGTCTTTGAGAGTCTGTACCGAGGAGAGGCTGTCGAGCAGCTGCGCGCGAAGCTGGGATTCGAGGTGAGCGGTCGTGTTGGCTGTCTGCTGGTGCGCCGAGGTGAGCTGAGCGAGGTACGCCTCGAGCGTGTCAGACGAAGGGAGGCAGGTGAATGTGGGGCGCAGGTCTGCTCTGTCGTTGGCGCTGGCTCGGAGCGTGTCGGAGGCGAGCTGCGGGAGGATGTAGTTGCAGTGTTCGACGACATAGCTCAGCTGCTGGTCGGCCGAGGGTGGCTGAAGGTAGGCAGCCAGCTGATGCGGCTCCAAGGTTGCCGACGATGCCATAGTGTCCGACGAGACTGGGATGAGTTGGGTGTGTGGAAGGTGGAAGGTGGAAGGGGGAAGGATTGACAGCGTGGCTCGAGCTCAAGACCAACAATTCTCGACGTGGAGTTGGATTTTTCGGGCAAAAAATGTTAGAGCGAGTCACGCCGCGCGGATGGCCGATGCCGGGCAGTGCGGAATGAGTTCGAGCTCAGCCCACACCGAAAGAGAAGCGAGAGAGGCTGCAGAGGGAGAGAGCGACCCTGCGCTTGAGCGAGGCACTGGCTCAGTGTGGCTGCGCCTCGCATGCACACGTCGGCTGCTCGCCTTGGCACTTCGAGCTTGAGCTAAGCCTGGGAGTTGGGGGGTTATCGTCGCCGTCTTTGCTCCACTCGTTTTGCCTCTCTACCTCGAACCATTCACTCGCTGCTCTCTTCTCTCTCCTATCTCTCTCGGCTCGACTCCGACACAGCTGTGGCCGAATCGCATCCAGCCCAGCTGCGCTGAGCTGTGCTGAGCTGTGCTGACTGGCCTCTGCCGCCATGCCTCGTCCCGGCGCCGGCGCGCGCACTCCTTCGCGCCGATCCGACGAGCTCTTTGCTGCTTTCAACGGCCCTGCCGACACCGATCCTGCGCTGCCACCGGGCTATTCCGAAGCCAGCAGCTCTGCATCGCGATCCGCTCCAAGAATGTCGACGGACGTCTTCTTTGACGCTGGCGATGCGCTGCCGCCTGAGCCCGACGCTCCGTCGCTGCGCGCCTCGGCCGCCACCGACCCTCTTGGCGCAGATCGTGCCAACGCATCATCGTCGGATCATCGCGCTCAATCCTCCTATCGACCGCCTCGCCCGAGCAACCCAAACACGTTCGCCTACGACTTTGAGCGGCCCGAATACTTTCCCACTGCAACACGCAGACCGCCCGCCTCGGCCAACAATAACACCACCGCCACCACCACCAGTCCCTCACCAGACCCTCCCACCAACACGCACCAGACCATCGACATGGGGTTCCAGGGTGGCGACAACGACAACGACGACTCGATCCACTCGGCGGGCGGCAGTGTCCAGCGCAACGGCTACAGCTCGCTGCCCACATCCAATGCCGGCGCTTCCAGTCAGGATGCCTCGGAGCACATGTCGAGGAGCGATCGCATGCGTTTGGCGCTCGGCCGATTCGGACGCTTCGTCGGCATGGGCATTCCGGGCGCGCGCTACTCTTCGCTCGCCCAGCACGACGGCGCGCGAGCCGGTGTGCATCGTCCGCGCGTCGTCGGCGGCGGAATCGGCCAGGACGGCGTCTTTGCCAACCTCAGCGCAAAACCCGAACGCCGTCGACGCGGCCACAACGCCGGCGGCACCGACGACCGAGGCGACGACGACGACCTCGAGGACGACGTGCAGCCGCCCACCTACGACATTGCCGCCGCCGATGCCGTGCCCCAGTACTGGGAGACCACCATCCTGGGCGGCAGCGTCCATCCGCTCGCCAACGGAATGGGTTGGACCCCCGGCGGCGCGCACGTCGGCGCCATCGAGGACCTCATCGTCGAGGGCCTCGCCGTGGGCAACCTGTTTGGCTTTGCGTGGAACATGCTCGTGTCCATGACCTTCCAGTTTGTCGGCTTCCTCCTCACCTATCTCTTGCACACCACCCATGCTGCGCGCTGCGGCAGTCGCGCCGGTTTGGGCATCACGCTCATCCAGTACGGCTTCTATCTGCGCACGCGCGCCGCCGAGATCGCCGAGGGCAAGATCATCGATGGCCCCTTTGCAGCTGGTGGCGGCGCCGTCTCTGCTGGCGCAGGGGGCAGTGGCTGGTTCGGCGAGGAGATCGACTCGGACCCCACGGCAGCAGGCGGTGCCAGGAGAAGGCGCGGCTGGGTCCAGCGCATGGTGCAGCCAGGACAGCCCAACGCCAATGGCGCCACGCTCGCCGACCTCATGGCGGCGCAGGCGGATGGTCAGCCCGTCAACGTCGGCGACCAGAACATCTCGGACAGCATGAGCCAGTCCACCGAGTGGCTTGCGTACGTGCTCATGGTGCTTGGATGGACCATCCTCCTCTCGAGCATGCTCAGCTACTGGCGCATCTATCGCTGGGGCAAGAGCCTCGTCGACGCCGCCAGGCGCGAGCAGGAGTCGAGCGAGAGTACGGCCAATGCAGAGGGCGAGAGCGCGGCAACTTCGGGCGCAACGGGCTTTGTGCATCGCTTCCGCTCGCTCTTTGGTAGTCGCAGCGGCGGTGCGAGCGGCACGGGCGAGGACTGGGTCATTTTCCCAGGTGCGGGACGCCGGCTCGGCACCACCACTGGCCGCTCAAGAGGCGCAGCGCGGTCGCAAAACGATGCCAGCTACGACCATCCCACGAGCATCGCCGATCTGGAAGACGACGACGGTTTGGATACCCAAGATGCGCGTCTCAACCCGCAGGAGCGAAGGCTGCTCAACGACATGCGTCGCGTCGGTCTTTTGTAGCACCACTTGACCACACACTCTTTTTTGTTATTTCACCGTGCGTTACCCTTTCGAAGTTGTGGTTGACGAGTGTGGTGCGGCTGAGAGGTCGGGGAAGGAAGGACTTGTCGGGGGGCTCATGCGGTATGGACGAGAGAGGAAGGATGTGACTCGGGATGACTCGCACTGCCGCGGAACGTCGGACTTGACTCGATGCGTTGAGTTGCGATGGTGGTAGCAGTGCGGGGTCTCCGCGGAGTGCGGAGAGGCTGAGTTTCGGTGCGAGTCAGATTTTAAGGCACGCACGGACGACTGTCATCCGAGCTCATCTGGCAAAATTTTCGGGACAGCATACGGCGACATGGATTTCTCTCTTCGGCAAAGCGGTCGGAAGAACCATGTGCAACCCGCCGGCAAACAAACGCTTCATCAAGCCTTCGTTCTCCTATGACCCTGGGAGCTGAGAGATAAGGTGTTGCTTTATAACCATCGCTTTCGCATCCATCTCTCAGCACCACAAGATCTCTCCGACATACAACATACACTTCGTCCCGCAACTTGGATCACAATAGGTTTCGTCTGGCTTTCCGCTCGTTACAGTCGCTTCTCGGTCTCGTATACACAATATAGTTTCGCAGCAACAACTACAGTATCTCGCATCGCTTCAACAAAAAAGCTCGATCCGCTTCCAAACGGACTCTGCAGGATCAAGCTTCCCCGACAAACAGCCTCTGATAAAAGAACATAGCAACGACATGATTCCTTCGATATCGTCCTTGGCAGGGGTGGGTCACGGCCTCGCAGCCAGGCCGGCAGTGCACATGCCAGCGCTCGACGACTTCTACTCGCTCGCTGCCGCCGCAGTCTGTCTGGCCGTGCTCGGCATCCTTGCTCTCGTACTCCTCACCACTTCGTCACCATCTCCGCATGGATACACCAGGCTAGACACCGATGCAGAGTCACCGTCGCTGCCAACACTCGACGACGACAACGGCGAGAACGAGGTGCAAGGATACGCCTTTGAGCTGCGCAAGGCGCATGGCACTCCACTCGATACCCAGGCGTTCGAACGCCACAGACTGCTCGTTCACATCGCCATCGCCGTCCTCGCCGTGGTCGGGCTCGCGCTAGATGCAGCTGCGATCGTTCAGCTTGTGCTGGCGAGCGATGAAATTCCATCCTCGCTGTACCTGGCTTCGGCCTCGGCAGGGCTGCATACAGTGCAGGTCGTACTGTCCATGCTCGATTTGAGGCTGGCAGAAGCGACGAGGCTGGCGTACATCTCGCTGCTCGCCTTCGTCTGGCTGCTCGTAAAGCTGCTCGTCGCACTGTCCGAGTACCGACTCAGGCTGCCCATTCACGCCGCCGACGCAGGTCAGCTGCTGTTTACACTCAACGTACTCTGCGGTACCATCGGCTTGGTCGTCGCCTTCATCTCGCCCTCGGGCCCGAAGGTGATGGTGGATGCAACACAGAATCTCACCGCACGCCAGATCCTGCGCAACACGGTGGGCGGTGGATCCGTAGCACAAAACGCTTGGGGCTTCAAGGCCTTCCCCGTCGTCAAGCAGGCTCATACCAAAGGCAGGATCGAGGAGGATGACGTACCCGCGCTCGATTACACCTACAAGTCGGCGTACGTCGCGGAAGAGATGATCCGAAAGTATCGTCAGCTCCTCGCTGCGTCCACCGCCAAGAATCCGGCGGCGGGTCGTAGCGATGCAGTCAAGGCCCGTGTGCTGCTGAGCTCGCTTATCGCGTGCAATGCCGCTGAGCTCAAAGCTACCGCGGTCGTACTCGTCATCACCACATTTTCGTTCTACTTCCCCAAGCTCGGCATGAGCATCTTGCTCAACGGCATCGAACAGTACGATCAAACCCTCAAAGGTCCGAATGCGATCAAGGATACCGTGCCAAACAGGGCTCGTGCAACGCTCATCTATTCGGCAGTCTTTTACCTCACCCTGCTGTGGGAAGGATTCATCGTGTACTACTACTTCCGTCCGCTCGGAACCTACCTCAAGACTAAAGTGCAGACCCAGCTCACAACGCTCCTTGCATGGAAGCGGTTGCGCCAGAAAGAAGCCTCGGCTCCCTCTGGTGCTGACGATGCAGAGGATGCAAAGGAGGCTGGAAACGACGAGGGCGAAGCGTCGGCAAGTTCGTCGTCGCAAGTGATCAATCTCGTCACCACGGATGCCAATCGCATCTTTTCGCACATCGATATGTTCAGCTTTGGCATCATGGGTCCGCTCGAGGTGTTCGTGGGTGGATGGTCAGCGTACTACCTTCTTGGCAATGGTGCACTGATGGGTCTGCTGGTGGCAGCACTTATGCAGCCCATCGCCATCCTGATCGGACGCATCACGGAGCGCATCGACGACAAGCTGCAAAAGTCGCGCGACAAGCGCGTCATGCTGCTCTCCGAAGCCATCCGTGCCATCCGCATGATCAAGTACGAGGCATGGGAGGACGATATGGCCGCACGCATCATGCACACCCGCCGCGCAGAACTCAAGTGCCAGGCACAGAGCTGGATCGTCTTCACCTTCTTTGGCGGCTTCTTTGCCTTTGTGCCCATGCTCACCATCGTCGTCGCTTTTGCTTGGTACACGGTCGTTGAGGGCCAGCAGCTCACTGCGTCAGTAGCCTTCCCCGCCGTGGCGGTGCTCATGGAGCTAAGGTTTGCTGTCAGCTATCTGCCCAGCAACTTCCTCATGATCATCCAGGGTTGGGTCTCGCTCAAGCGCATTGCTGCCTATCTCGAAACTGGCGAAGTCGAGCTCAAGACGGGCGAGTACACGCCAGCCACTAGAAACGGAGCCGACAACCCTGCTGGCGCATCGAGCTCGGTCGGCCGCATCGCGCTCAAGAACGCCGAAATCACCTGGCCTTCGGAAGGCGATGCCTCGGCAGCTTCGGGAGCAGCCACTCCAGGCCGCTTCTCGCTCTCGATCCCCGAGGCGACGTTCGAGGTGGGCAAGACCAACCTCGTGTGCGGCAAGATCGGATCGGGCAAGACGCTGCTTCTGCTTTCGCTGCTTGGCGAGGCCCAGCTGACGTCCGGCAGCATCGAGTGTCCGCGCTCGCACCCCGCTGCATCGCTGTACGCCGTGCGCTCTGCATCTTCGCATCGCCGCGCCAAGTGGTGGATCGACCTGTCGCTCGCTGCGTATGCGCCGCAGCGTCCGTTCCTCTTCAACGCCACCGTACGCGACAACATCATCTTTGGCCTCGAGTACGATGCGCACCGCTACCGCGCCGTCATCTTTGCGTGTGGCCTCAAACCGGATCTCAAGATCTTCAAGGACGGCGACCGCACCGAGATCGGCGAGGGAGGCACCAACCTCTCGGGCGGACAGAAGGCGAGGATCTCACTCGCTAGGGCCGTCTACTCGCATGCAGGGACCGTGTTGATCGACGACTGCCTCTCGGCGCTCGACTCGCACACCACAAAGCACATTTGCGAAAAGCTATTCGATGGAGGAGAATCGGGTTTGCTGGCGGGAAGGACTACCGTGCTTGTGACGCACCATGTCAAGCTCATGGCGAGCAGGTGCAGCAAGGTGCTTGTGCTGCAGGAAGGCAGGCAGGCATTCTTTGGCAGCGCCGACCAGTTTACCAACTCGATCTTTTTCCAGCTAGAGAGCGAGCAGAGCGCTGCCGAAAAGGACGACGAGGAACACGTGCCGAGCTTCGGATCCAACACCTCCACTGCGGCCAACTCGGCCGCTAACAGCGACGAGGAAGACGAGGCGCTGCTCAACCCTGCCAACGTCGGCGATGGCAAGGGTGCAAATGCCTCCGAGTTTTCGGTGCATACGGTTGGCGCGGAGGCTGGCAGGACCACTCTGCGACGAAGGGCTTCCGTCTCGGCCTTTAGCCACGTCTCGGGCCTGCTGGACGGCGCGGCCGAGGGCGAAGAGGGCCAAGGCGATGTGCACAAGCAGGTCACCGAAGAGACGCGCAAGCAGGGCCGTGTCTCGTTCGCGGTCTACAGTGGATACGTCCGTGCTGGCGGCGGCCTGCTCGTGTGGCTGCTGCTGCTGGGCTCTTTCGCCGCCAATGCCTTTTCCGACCTGGGTGCCAACTGGTGGTTGCGGCTGTGGGCTCAGTCGACGGCGGATGGCGATGCGGGCATCGAGCGCGCCGAGCACTCGACCGAGTGGTGGCTCTCGCGCTGGATGCTCATCCAGTCCGTCCAGGTGGTCGTGCTCACCGCCGGATACGCTCTCGTCTGCACCGCCTCGCTGCTGGCCGGCAGCCGGCTCTTCAAGCAGCTGCTGCGAACCGTGCTTCGTGCGCCGCTGCGCTTCCACGACTCGACACCCTCCGGACGTCTGCTCAACAGGTTCGGCAGAGACATGGAGCAGATCGACTCGTCCATCGCCGAGGAGCTCACGGATGCAGCAAAGTCGCTCCTCATGGCTCTCGCCGCGCTGGTCGCAACGTGGATCGGAGGCGGCCCGATTTTGATCGTCATGCTCTTCTTCATGGCACCGGTCTTCTACGTGCTCGTGTCGACATTCACCATTGCCGCGCGCGACCTCAAGCGGCTCGACTCGAACTCGGCGTCGAAGCGCATCACGTGCTTTACGGATCTGATCACGGGCGTGGTGACCATCCGTGCCTTTGGCTCGTCGGCAGCGTACTATGCCACGCTCATGGAGAGGCTGGATGAAAACATGATGTTCTACTTCTGGCAGGGCTATGTGCGACAGTGGCAGAGCCTGCTCTTCTCGCTCGCCACCTCGGGCTTTGTCATCTCAACCGTGCTCGTCGTGACGCTCGTACCCGGCTCGTCAGCTGCTCGAGCGGGTTTCACGCTCAGCTTCGTGCAGAACCTCACCTCGATGCTCCAGTTCGGTCTGCGCTCCATGTCCAACGTCGAGCAGGGCCTCGTGGCCGTCGAGCGTGTGATGGAGTACTTTGACATCGACACCGAGCCGCTCGATGCGCCTCCGCAGTCGGCAGGCGGCGAGATCAAGGTCGCCCCGAACTGGCCCGATAAGGGTGCCATCGAGATCCAGGATCTGCACCTCGCATATGCCGACAACCTGCCGGATGTGCTCGATGGAATCACTCTCTCGATCGGCGCGGGTGAACGCGTGGGCATCGTAGGCGCAACCGGCAGTGGCAAGTCGACACTCGTCTCGGCACTCTTCCGATTCTTCGAGTACCGCAGCGGCAGCATCGTGATCGACGGCGTCGATATTGGCAGGCTGGGTCTCAAGACGCTGCGCAGCAGGATGAAGATCGTTCCGCAAGACCCGCTGATTCTGTCAGGCACGCTGCGTAGTGCCGTCGATCCGCTCGAGCAGTACTCGGACGTCGACATCAGCCGAATCCTCGTCCGCGTCGGTCTGCTCAAGGAAAAACTCCCTGCCGCCGCAGGATACGGCACTTTCAACGGTGCTGGTTCGGTCCCCAACCTCGCCGGTGGAAGCACGAGCTCATCGACGCTGCTCGCTGCACAGGAAGAGTCGTCCGACGACTCCGGGATGCTCACCTCGCTCGAGGCGCGCATCGAGGAGAGCGGAACCAACCTCTCGGCTGGCCAAAAGCAGCTCCTGTCACTCTCGCGTATCCTGCTCTCGGCATCGAACCCCGAGAATGCAAACTCGATCGTCGTGCTGGACGAGTCGACATCGTCGATCGACTACGCCACCGACGCCAAGATCCAGACGCTGCTCAACGAGCACTTTGCCGCACACAATACCACTGTGCTCGCCATCGCCCACCGCCTCAGGTCGATCATCGGCTTTGATACCGTCGTCGTTTTGGATCACGGCAAGGTCGTCGAAAAGGGCTCGCCGCGTGAGTTGCTCATGCGCGACGACGGCTGGTTCTGCCGCCTCGCTACCAGCACGGGAGAGGACGAGCTGGGCGCCCTCAGGAAGGCGGCTGGCCTTTGAGAAGCCACGTCATTTTGGCGCTCGTACGTTTGGTTCTCCAATCACGATACGAATGCGATATCTGCTCTCGACTAAGATTCTGCATGATCACTATGAGTGGCGATGGCATTGATGTGGAGTGCAAATGTGTGTGAGTGGATGTGTGTGAGTGCGAAGAGCTGAGAAGGAGCCCGATGTTCAGTGAGGGTTTGACCAGACCAGCAGAATCACAAGCCTCAACACACTCGCCGATCTGGTCTCCTGGACGGAACCGCCGGAGAGACGGACGGCGGTACGAATTGGCATGACAAGCAGAGCTGTTACTGCGGACTTGATGGGGAAAGGGCCTTGACGGACGTTTTGCGAGCCGCCTGAATGCGCAAGGATGGAGACCTGGTCCTGATCTCGGCGCCAAACTACGTCTGAAGAATGGAGTGCGAAGGAGGTTGCTTTGGTGCATCTCGGAAAAGCGCAACATAGAGCTTCTCGCGCATCAAGTCCTCTTGAGACTGCGTTGCTCCGCGGCCGCTGATCTCGACTATGCCTGATTCGTGATGTGAGGTAAGGGATCATGGGACGCTCTGCAGCTCTGCGTGTTGTGGTCAGTGTTGCCTCTTTGCTGCCGGGTGAAGAGGGCCAGAAGAAAGGCCGCTGATTGGCAAAGAATTGAGACTTGTGGGCCCTAGGTGGCGAGTCTACGAACTTCTTCGATCAAAGCGATGGCCTCTTCGCGCTGCGGTGCCTGCAACTTGCGCTCAAAAGGGCACGCAGTCGGTCCATGATGTCGTGGATGGTGGCAATGTTCTTCTCCTTTCGCGTCATTCTGCCGCTTAAGCCCTTCGCATTGCAAGGCTTTATCAACACAGCGCAGAGGTCGCAAGTCAACGCTCGTTTCTCTCCTGACCAAGAGAGACCAGTGCCGAAGGTGCAGTGTTTGCCGTTGCGTTTGCAGTTGCCGCAGCCTCGATTGGTGACCTTGAAGCCGACCTCGAGATCCTCGTCGATGCCTGGAAAGTCCTCCAAAGTGCGGCGACGATTTTCAGCCGTGTCTGGGAGCGGGAAGGTGGGTCGACATTGCTCATGTGGGGTCATTGTCGATGGGATTCGATGGTTGATGATGGTGGGCATAGATGAAACGGAAGAGCTATAATACCGTAGGAGATAGGCGCATCTGGAGTGGCGTTTAAATCGAATCGAAACAACGGAGATCTGGGACCTTGCAGTCCGAGTGTGACTGGAAAAGGAGCGGAGGTGTCAATCACCTCATCAGTGCCAAAAAGCTTTCAGAATGTGCCCCAGCGCATGGCGCGTACGCTTCCGAAGGGCGACGAGGGCAATCCCCTTCGACCGCAGCGTGTGCTCACACGAAGTCCGCACTTGCAACAGGCAGTATGACACGGTCAAAGTGCCAGAAAGTGTGACCGCCGCTCGCAGGACCACGATGACCTCAGGCCGAGTGCAGGTTCGTGAGCTCGAGATGAGGTCGCCGTTGCTCGGTGCGCGGCCTTCAACATTCCGGATCGAGCCAAAATCAAGCTCGGAGCTTCTGGACATCACATCGATAGCCAAGCCTTGCCGCCATGAAAGTGAGCCAGCGGAGCGTGCCGATGCCAGCGTTCATGTCACGGCAGATGCGCATCCGAGCTTTCATTTGAGCGACTGCGAGCGCAGCAACCCGCCGACACCTTCCGCGCCGTGCCAAGAAGGGTCGGCCCCACCAAAGCATCTTTTTGTTGTCACATCCGTGCATTTCATCACTCACGCGCAGCGACGCGCAGAGCCGCGGTCACGGACGACAGCCTTCTGAATCAAAGGATGGGCATCTGCAGACTCGCCGCGCCGCAAACACGTCCATCGACTGCCACCATACCATCGCCCTTGCAGGCTAAGTCGTCACAACATGTCGAAGAGGAAGAGAACGTCCACCTCTGCGAACGACTCGGAAGACGATGAGCGCGAAGGGTCCAACAGCTCAAGCTCCTCGGAATCAGGCGACGAGGAAGCCGACGATGTCAAGAACGTCGAGACGCGTGATGGAGAGGAGCCTGACGTTGGCGACGTGACAACTCCCGTCGACACGAAAGAAAGTGAACCGAGATACGAAGTCCGAGCCATTTGGACCGCCAAGGATCCCACACTGTGCGCTTTCGACGAGTACCCTGACCCAACCAGCCGGAAGACTCTCGCCAAGGGTACGCGCAGGTTTCGCTACCTGGGTCCCTCCAGCCAGCTCTCTTGGCGCGAGCGCACCGATATGGCCCAGGAGGTTGCACGCTCGATCTGCTTGAGCAACTGGCCGATCAAGGCGGCCGAAATTTTCGTGCAGGCGCCCAAGATGCGCAAAGGCGAGTGGTACCTGGACATCGCCACCACGACGCAAAAGGCCTACGAGCAGCTTGCGCACGCCGAGCCCAGCTTCCGCTCCCATGCTTTCGAGCTCGTCTCGTCGTGCGCTCCATTTCCGAGCCACCACATCCTCATGCGCATCGACGGTATCGACGTGCGCAACGGCCTACTGGCGATCGTCAACAGCATCAAGGAAGAGGTGCACGGCTGTGTCCGCATCATTGCGTACTGGGCGAGGTTCCGCCACCGACCAGATGACGACGCGCCCGCCAGTGATGATTTCACGGGCACAGTCTATGTGCTTGGTGCCGGCAACGACGACAAGATCGAAACCGAAAAGCTCCCAGGCTTTCTCGACTTCAAGGACCTCCAGTGGCCAAAGCGCGTCGGCGTGTGGTACGACGGACGCCCTGCTGAGTGCAGCGCCTGTAACTGGAGCGTCTCACGCCACCTCGTCAGGGACTGCGAAGCTCAATGCTGCCACTCCAAGCGCCGCCGCATTAGCTCGCCAGCCTGCCCGGAAGTCGTGGAAGAGTAGTCCAAGGCTGGCATCATTGCCAAGCTTGTTGGACGAAGGATGCGACACCCGCTCTCGCATCAATACAAAATCGCCATGGCGGATGCTGCTCTACGAACACGAAACTGCAATACGAAGACTCAACCGTAATGCGAAAACAAGACTGCAGATCCTCCCCTTATATGCCCAAGCATACATGTGTGGATCACGCAAAACGGTTCTAACAAGCTGTGTGCGCCTCTCCGTCTTCTTCAAATCAGCGACACTCGAGTACGGACGGGTTGCGCTGGTTCAAGCCATCTCTTTTGGAAACATCGCATGGACTAGATGCGCCGGCTCGTTTTTGCATAGGCACGTGAGGCATCGCAAGGCGCATCTCTGCAGCGAACCTGCCGAGTCTTGGAGCGAGCATCGGTGTTACTGCCACCAACCAGGCCAACTAGAGACAT